TACATGGGTAGAGAGTAACAGTTTAGGAATAATATTAGCCAAATGATTCTCACATTTAACAATTTTGTATGTAAGTTTTCACTGCAGTAAGTGGGGGGAGGGGTGCTCCCTACTCTGTGTTTTTTCCCTGTTAATTAATAATTAATTAACCTATTAATTTGACTCAGTATCCAAGCCTTTTTTTTTTTTAAATAGTTACCATTTATATACTGGATAGAAAAGCTAGGTAACATTATTGGAAATGATAATTTGTTAGAAGCTAAAATTATATTTGTTTTATATATGTCATTGGCATTTAGTTATCTGCGTTTCTTAAGTGTCTTGCCAAAGTATTCATTCAATGTGAATAGAAAAACTATTAACATGCTGCCCATAACCTTTGATTTCATGGAATTTAATAATATCATTTGGCAGCGACTATTTTTATTTTTGCTGTTTTCCTTTCATATTTAGCCAAACTGAATGTTTTCTCTAGAATAACAAAACTACTGAAATAGTAAAATTATCTTTTAGGTCAAGATCCTCCAAACATATGTAGTCCAGTGCATGATTTTACTAGCTTATAAAATGTATTTTGTTTATATATGCTAATTAAATTAAATTATACATTTATTTATATTTGAAAATATATTACAATGACCAAAAAGAAATACTATAAATTAAAATTTACCACAAATAATGATCTAAGAAATACATTAATAGAACATATATGATATTGGTCAAAAACCTGAAGGCAATGATAATTATCTTTAGTTTTTATTCTACTAACTTATAAGAATATTTCTTTCTCTCATTTTATTAAATAATTGTTAATGCGTATGCAAAACTTGATGGATCATAAATATATTTATAGATTTGAAACACAGAATTAACAAAATATAGCGTGTTGACTTTAATACATAATGATAGTACCTGCTTAGTGGAAAGCTCCATTGCTGAAATAGTAGTTGGTTCCTAAAGAAGAAAAGAATATGAACCATTTGGTCAATTATAAAAGTCATTAATTAATTGACATCGAACACCAGCATTAAGTTTTCAGATAACTTCAGTGCCTGCAAGAAGCAATATAACTGGGAGATAAGACACATCAAAGAAATTACATAGATAAGTGTTAAGTGTGTAGAACAGATGATAAGAGTGTATTAATGTCCTCTAGCCAAAGACCATTAGGAACACACCGGTAGTTGATCAAATTGGGTTTACTGTTTGTTGCAATAAGGGAGACCATGGGACTTCACAGTAAGTGTTGAAAAGCACTTAAATGTTTGGGCTTGTGTTAGCTGATATGAGAGAGGATTCAAGGAAATGGGACTTTGTTCCGCATTGGATGTTATCAAAAAGCAGAAGTAATTCTATGATTAAGTTTATTCATAAATCTTATTTATAAGTAGGAGAGAACAGAGTGAGGATAAAACAGTGGTTGGTAAAAAGGCGTAATCACTCATGTAGGCAGGATAGGGAGATTTGGCCTTTTTTATGGTTTTAACAGTGTTTATGTTCTTGCTTGTGTTCAGACATAATTACAGAAAGGTCTTACTTTTCTATCAATTCATCAATTTTCTATTACTCTGTCTACTACTGACGTTCTGTGAAAATTTATATGTTCTCCTCGAGAATACCATGGCCTGGCTGAGAGTGCGAGGCCAGCTCCAAATAACACCAATGACGAGCTGATAGTATTTGGTGTTTCCAGATGTCAGGGACTGTGAGAACTAGCTCAGTTGGGGTGAAAACACTTTGTTAGGTGTTCTACTGAAGCCTATCATGAACACATGTAGTTGCCTAAGTAAATACTGTCTTTTGATTAACTGAGACCACCAATGCCATTCACTTGAACACATTCGCTTATATACTCTTAGATTCACTTTCACTGAACTGTGTTCCGTTATATATTTCATCAACGACAAACACAACACTAAAAAATATATTGCTTTGGGGTTTCAGTGGTGGCTAATGAGAAGGAGGGTTAAGTAGGAAGAATAATCTTAAAAGGATTCACTGTGTAGGTGACTGTAGCTGAGCCCTAAAGAAAGTATAAAGAGTTGGACTCTGGAGCCAAACTGCATGAATTCAAACAGTAACTCAAACCTGGCCAAAAGTGTGTTGTTAGGTGAGGCACATAAACTCTTTGTAATTCAGTTTTCTTCTCTGAAAAAATGAATATGGCAGTAACTTCCTCATAGGGTAGTTGAGAAGATTAATTGAGTTAATGTAAAGCACTTTACAAAAGATGTTTGGCACATAATGTTCATTCAAATGTTTCTTCTCTTATTCTCTCTCTCTCTCTCTCTCTCTCTCTCTCTTTCACACACACACACACACACACACACACACACACACACACTTCCATATCCTTTAGCTTTTCTCTTTAATACTTATCACTATCTAAGAATATGTACGCATATATGAAATTTATGTGCATTTATCATAGATATTATATATATGACATATCATATATAATATATATATAACATTTATCTTGTGTCTTATGAGTCCCCCCAACACCCCTATGTGCCAAAGCAGAGTTTGAGATAAGCTCTTCTCTGCAGGTAGGGAACAGGGGTGAGTAACTAAGAACTGAGAGGAAGGAAAAAATAAGTCAGTAAAAGGATGTTTCATGGAAGTCACCACTGAGAGAAAATCTGAGGACAGTGGATGGTGACTGTCAAAACTGTCTACTGAGGTGTGTACCAAGAAAAGCATTTATTCATTCCATCACTCAGTAGATGCCCACACTCCCAGTTCCGACTCTTGTTTGCTTTCTTGTCTGTTGTCAGAGAAGTCCTAGGGCGGAAAGTGAAAAACACACAGTGGAAATCAAGATGAGGCTGATAAGATGTGAGGAGAGTCAGCAGAAGCATCTCATATATCTTCTTAATTGTTTGTCTCCCTTCCTAATCCTGACCTGCCACACATGAATTCTGGGATTTTTGTTTTATTAACTGTCATATCTATTGCACCTGGGATTGTTCCTGGCATTTATAAGTTCTCAATAAATCGTTGAATAAATGAATGAATAAGTGAATTAATAAATGAATTCACTATCAATGTTCCCCTTTCTCTCCTATCTCCTCTACTTTTGCCAGTAAATTCTGTTCCTTCCACTGAATATGTATATGAGATAAAGGCAGCCGCCATTTTAAAAAAAGTCCTTAATCCTTTAAGCTTAACTGGATTTCTTTGAAAATAATCTAAATATTCTATACTCACTATCATAACTTGTTCATATCCCATTCAGTGCCATTCATTTCTTAGGCCACTGAATTTAGCCCTTACTCTAGAGAGGTTACCTACAAATGTCAGAAGCAGAAATCACCAAAGAACTGTATTGCTGAATGGGACATTTTTGGTCTATATTTTTATTACTGGATTTTGTTTAATATGGTACTATCAACCACTCATTTCTTCTTGACTGCTTCCTTTATTAAATTTCCTTCTGCCTTGGAACTCTTTATTAATTATTTATTCTTAGCTTTTTTTCAAAGTCTTCTCAAACTTTAGGCATTCCTCACGTATTTGCTTTCCCTTACTGAATCCTTCCTACTCTCCATTGGATGCTACATTCTTTTTGTGGTGAGCTCATCTGTTCTTGTGATTTTAATTACCCCCCATGTGCTACAGAATCACAAATTTCATCTTCGAACACTGATATCTAAGCTGAGCACAGCATTTTCTTAACAAATTTAAGACAACCTGCCTGAGACACAAATGAGACAAATAATTTAAGATGTAAATTAATATAATGGGATAATTTAGAGATTTCTGATAGTTTCCCATTTTTATAGTTTAAATTATATTAAAAAATAAAAATCTTCTATAGGAATTATCAATCATAAAGAGCACTATGGTGAGAGGACTATCTACCAATTTTCTCTATGCAGAGATATGATCTTTAGAATTTAGTAGTATCAAATCACAAAAATCAAAGGGACAATTCACCACTTATTTTCAGCTTAAAAGACAAAGCAAACAGTTGTATTTAGGTTTATACCATATTTGAATCAATGAACCCAAAAAGAGAATTTAGAAGAGTTAGGAAAATTTTCCACAGCAACTTCTTTTATTCCAACAGTTTTACATGAGAAATAATTACATGATTTTGTAAGCGCTAACTTCGTGCAGACTTTCATGAAATGCATTTTATAGTCAAGGTGCAAGGAAAATGTTTCTCAGAGAATTAACATCTAATATAATAGAAGTAAAAGTTAGCTAAGTCTAAGTTCTTTTAAAAACAAGTGAAACGATGTAAAAAGTGAAATTGATCAATATATATTTTGTATTCATTGAATTGAATATCTACAAGGTAGATAAAAATGAATTATTTCATACCTAAATTGTATAATGAAACAAACCCCAATCCACACCAAACTCCATTGTGCCACATTATGATTTTGACATTCTTAAATTAAGATCCTAGAATCTCCTAATTAAAAGAACTTTACTTATTTTTTAGACCAAGGAATTAGTAACAGTTTGAAATAACGTGTACTATATGCTGCCTATGGCTGCATTATAATAGATAATATATTAAAATGACAGTCATTTAAAAAAGCTATATATTTTTTTTCTGAGAAATAGCTGGTGGTGAATACGATTTTCATTTGTAACTTAATAAGCATTTTTTTCATGAAAATTGTTTCAATTGCAAATTTAATTGGTGTTCGAGTAAAAATGGAATTAAAAACAGCATATTTTAAAGATTATTTACGACATACTTTTCAGATATTTTAATCTAGTCCTTATTAAACTTCAGCACTCACAGAGCTTTTCAACCTTCTGCTCCTAGGAGAATATAACGTAGCTCCCTGGATGCTAAGCAAGTGGACCCTACTTTAGAATGAGTATAATAGTCTAGGTTTTGGAAAGCATCAATTATGTTTTACATTCTAATGAAAATTAAACTCAATTTGTTCAGCTGTTCATGGAATATTGCATAAATTGGATTTAAAATGCATGTGTTATTGATATAACTGACTTGCAATCCTTTGCAGTCAATGAGACTATAAATAAAACCCATTGTACTGAATGCACTGCAATTTGATGTAATACCCCACTGTCTGAAAAATAAAACTCTCTTTGACTGAACTGGAAAGAAAATCTCACATTGAGTAAAATAAAAATCAACACGTCTGGTTTTAATATCTTTTGCATATTTTTAACAAGGTATAGATGTGGATTTTTCAAACATTATTTTAAAAGACTTACATTAGTATAACTAGTTAATGATAACTACCATCGACTAGTAATTTTAATTCAAACAAACCTCTAAAAATTTATGAAATGGAGAAGTCGAGGATCAATTGACTGTAACCAATTTGTTCAGTATCACATAGTAAATATGATTCAAATACAGATTTATAATTATGATAATACTTGGAATCAGGCTTGTGTCTTAGTACTTTAATACCATTTTGAATATATAGTGGCAATTCAAAGTCATTTCTAGAGTCCTATATCAATGCCAATTTTATTTCACTTCTTATTACCTATTAAAATTTTACTTTAAAGTGGAAATTTTTATTACAGAGAAATATTTTTCTTTCTATCCTCTGATTGGGATTTGATTTCACCCAGAATAAAAAGTATCTTGGATGTAACTGGAACCACTGGAATGTTCTGTGATTAGCCAGAGTATTTTCCTAAAACCAATCTCAAGATAGCAATGGACATATTACTGGATTTAATTCAGGATTTTATATTAGATTTGGTTATTCAGTCTAGCAAGGACACATAATGAACATGGTCTCCTGGAGATGATATTATGGTAAAATTAACTGGTTGGTTGACAGTAAATGTCTTTCTTTTTATAATCCAAGAGTATCAGATACCACCATGACTGTAAATTTGTTCTTTGTATATTTACCTTGTCAAACTACTGTAATGCTCAGGTTAACATTTTTTTTTTTTTTAATGAAATGGAATAACTTGTGAGGCTCAAATAGAAATATAGAAACTATAACATTTCTCTGCTTGTTTCACTGTATATAGCAATTGCTTTAATGTGTTGAGTTTTTTCCTCCCATTGCAAAATTAAACAAAGTTTGACAGTGAAATATTCCAATCGCTAGACCGCAATATATGTATGAACTTTGCCTGATAGAATAGAATGCTGAAAGTAAATATTTCTCTAAACTCTACCCAAATATGTTTTGTCTACTTGAGTGAAAAAAAAATAGTAATGACAATAATGCATAGCAGAGAATATGGAAGCAAACTAGAACATTTATCTATGAAAAAAAAAGGTGTTCTAAGTTGCAAACAATCTTTTCACAAAATCATAAACTCATAAACAATTATTTCCATGCGAGCACAATATTACGTATTTATACTTAATTGTTAGAGATTGATAAAGAATCTTGTTCATAATACCTTAAAAATTACATATATGTCATTCAATAGCTATCATAGGTGAAATTGAGTTGTGTAGTTCTCTCAAAACTGTAATATACTAACACAATCTAACGGATATTAAATATTTGTGCTTGCAAGATTGTTGGCTTCCAATCTGTCAAGATTTTTTAAAAGTCATTTAAGATCAGTATAAATTTATATCTTCTTAAACTAAATTTTTTACTAATGTACTAAAGAATATAGCTAAGATGTGGAATGTAAGCTTAAAAATCCCAGATATGGGAAATGAAAATAAGTTAGAATATATTTTTACTGAAATTTATGCACGTTCTGATTAATAAAGTCCCAGAAAATAATTAAATGATAAAAAAACTTATTTTTAAAATGGTGTGACATGACTTGATACAATTCTACAAGATAAAACCTAGTTGTACTCATAGATAATAAATTAAGTCCTTGGAATTATGAGGCAGAACATGTAAGAAAGAGTCTGTAAGCTGCATATGGTCAGGGACCATGTTTTGTTCATCTCTGAATCATCAGAACTTAGCATTTGCCAGAACCATGGTAGGTAGAATATATTTGCTTGCAGTTGAATTAATGATAAATTTTAAGAAAATAGATAACAAATGAAAGGAAATATACAAATGAACCACAATAAATCCATACGTAAAGAGATTCTGAAAATAAGAAATTCTTAAGTTAACATAATATTTTAGTATCTCCTATAAATTCATTTGCAACAGTGGTGGCAATATAAATTTCAAAATATTCAGAATTAGTAAAAAAAAATTTCTACTATAGAATAATATTAGATATAATCAACAGTATAACTTGTTGCTGTTCTCAGTTTATCATCCTCACACTCTGACCCCTCACATGAAGTGTGGTTTTCCTGAGGAAGACCTTAATATCTTTAATTTCTCATATTTCATTTTTTCATCAATACTGATTCCTTCGTTCATTTAATCAATGTTAGTTGAAAACATATTTTAGGCTCTGGGAGACAGGACAATGGACATAAGACAGCAATTTATTTATCTACCCTTCAGTGCCCATAATTTGTTTGCTAAGTCTAGATGGACTCTATATTGCTAACACAGTCCATCTGGATAATTGTATTTTTGAAATTTGTAGGCTAAAATAGAAATGTGTAAAGACTGTAATGGAACCTAGTGAACTGCAGGGATTAGACATCACTCTATACCAGATGTAAATAAAATAAGGCCAAAGTGCCTGATTAAAAAAATTATAATATAGTTATGGCAATTTTATTATTTTGAAGACTTAAACCAAGAATTAGTAGAAATGCTACTCAAAATATGGCTTAAGTGTCGCTAAACTAATAAATATATATTAATAATAAGTGCTGCTAACAGAAATGCCATGTAGATATAAGTGAAAAGCTTAAACTCTTTACACTAGAACATTGTTTGGCTGTTATTACAAAATGTCTATATCGTGATTTAACAGTTAATAGGTAAAGTATCTAAGACACCTGGAGACTAAATGCGATAATTTTTTAAGTTGTGAAACTAGATCCAACGTTTTCTCATTTTGTCCACACAATTCTTTTAATTCCAGTTAAAAGAATTGTGTGGACAAAATGAGAAAACGTTTATTTTGTCATCTCATATGTTTGCTCTATTCTTGTATCAAAAATTGAAATACCTTTTATAGGTATCTATTTCCCTGTCATATCTCATAAATAATTCTTATCAAGGTGTGCTTCAATTCAAACTCTTTCTATGAGTCAGCTTACTAAAAGGAATAACAGGTATGTGGTATGTGTTATATTACTTCAATTCTCCTCTCTCACATCAATCTATATCCTGCTGTCTCTACCCCAAATCTGATATAAACCTGGGCCATCATAATTCAGGCCAAAGGGACAAATATCTATACATTCTTTAAAAGCGTAGACTAAGAATCCATATCAAATTTGCCACGAGTGATACAAAAACCTCAAACTTATTTTTCCAAAACAAATTATTTCTTTAAGAAAATATGATAAAGCAATTCACAAATAAGTTACAAAATAGTTGAAACATCTTCATTCTCATCATTCTGAATGTATTTCCCTTAACATATTCATGGAAGTTACCTATCACCCAAGTTATACCAAAAAGTATGAAAGAGAAGATTTTGGGTGTTGGGGGGTGCATAGAGTTTGTTCATTGAGGTAACTTACATAAACAATATAAAATGTACATCCTATATTTTATCACTGAGAAAATAACATATGAGCCAAGAATATATTTCTTTACATTTTTAGATTCACTAGCATTGAAAATTTCAAGGTTTATTTTGACTAGTGTCTGGCTTTCTAATTGACAAGCTAATTAGAAGGGTATGCTAGACTACTTGTCCATACCGAGTTCAGTGTGCAGCTGTCCTGGGGGAAAGACATACAAGTGAACTTGTTGACACTTGAAATTAAGCAGCACTCACCCGAAAAACTGTCATTTCTTCCAGCAGAACTTCTTCTAAATCATGCCAAGTCTCCTTAGGAATTGAAACTACTTTAAGAACGGTTCCAACATCTTTGAAAAAAGTGGAGGAGAAGAGCATAATTTAACTAGATCTAAATAGAGTTTAGAGTTAATGAATGGAATCAGTATTTGACCAGAAAGAACATTTTAATCTCAGCCTTTCTTTTAATTTGTATTTTTGCAGCATTATTAAAATATGTATTCAAATGTATTTCATGTAACTATATTAACTATAAACATAGCTGTGAAATAAAAAGAATTGAATTTTTAGAAATATAGAAAGTTTTGAAGATGATTTTATCCTGAACTTGCATAATTAAAAATATGTAATAATCACTAAGTTGGATGAATTATTTTTATTATTTTTAATCTCAATCGTCAGATTTCTCAGAAAAAAAACTAAAAATAATATCAGTTTTGATATTACAAGTTTTTCCACTTTTGTTATGAAATCAAGAACTACTATGAAAATTTAATGTAGATGTCAAATGCAAGGAATGTTGTGAAGCAACAGAAAAAAGTACAGTAGTTAGAGCTTCACAGGCTGCAAACCTTTAGTACTTAGAAAACCCTAAAGACAGCTCAGTGACTATTAAGTGATGAAGGACAATGACCTGATTTCTCAAAATAAACACCTTAGGTTACTTATTATAGTGGTTTTTTTTTTTTTTTCCTAATAATTGGTTAATCAGTTTTGGTTAGCATATTGATTAATCAAGTTTAGAGTACTAAAGACATTTAAAATTCAGGAGCATAAATCACAAAAACCTGTTAAACTGAATACATTTTATAGAGATGTCAAGCATTATTTATTCTAATTTCTATTGTTAAAATAGAGAAGTTGTTTTAATGACAAGAGCTGTCATTTTCACTCTAAGTTTGTTTAGAAAGACATTGATTTTCCAGTTTTTATAGACATGTTTCTACTCCTTGATAGAACAAAGAACAGGGCTTTATTAAATTAAGAAATAAAATTGACTCTTCAACATTCTAATTATGGTCAGCTGATCAATTATTTTTAGCTTCAATTGCTCATTTTAATCGAATTTAGTGGACTCATTATTTGAGAAGAAAATCTTGCCCATAAAGAGTAAGTTACACCAGGAAAATAATTCAGCATATTCATATCATTGATAACCATTTTTAGGGAATCAAGATGATGTGCCATGGGAGATTTAAAAAGATCACTAGGTGTATCCCTTGTAAAGTTAAAAAAAAGCCCTCTTTTAAGAGGATCCTTCTATGTTTATAGGACCTTAGACTACTCATAACAACAAGGATTAAAGGTAAATTAGGTTAATCTACTCATTGCCTCTGACAGGTCTCCAGTATCCAAACATAACTTTATCTGTGTTCCAGATCAAGTTTTACTGAGTAGTATTTCAAACAATTTCACACAAATTGAATCATATTACTCAACTAGGATCAATACACTATGATGTGCTACTTAGTTAAAAGATAAAATTACTGTAATCAATTTACTTTGCTGACAGATGACCCTGGTCTGTGCTGACCGATAGCCATTCACACCATCAGACATTCAACATGCTCATGAAATTGGTTCCTTTAAGGACAATTTGTGTCCAAGAGGAATTAAAACTCATGATTGGGTTTCTCTGGTCAAATAGCTGGAAGCAAGCTTTTGTTGCACTGACAATGAGTGAGAGACTTCTCAATGTGTTAAAGCCAGAGGTGAAGAAAGAGGCAAGTGTGACATTAGTGAACAAACTTAATTACTCCATAGAGAGCTCTATTATAAATGATAGACATTAAATGATAAACTAATATTTATTGAAGAGAAATCCTATCATTATATCATTTCTGAAAATATTCATAATCAGAAATTAATATTTAATAAATTCATTGACTTTATCAAACAGTCTCAGTGAGATTCTTCTATTTGATTGAGAAACTTTCTCACTCGTAAAAGTAGACTGTAATATATCATTCAGAACCTGACACTGTTACACTTGATAACATAAGTTATTTCACAATTTCATTATAAAACTTTAAGTCTTTACATCACTTACTGCACAGTTGCCATTCCCCTGTAGTTAATGCAATTTTTTCTGTTTCTCTTCAAGGGAAAATAAATGTTATTATACAAGGTTTCAGTGGAGCACTCACTCTGTTTCCCATTGATTTATGTCAGTTAACAATGCTAATGGAAACTAGAAATTTATTACCTTGAAATCTGACCCTAAGTGACAAGTTTCGAATTTGTAACTGGTACTTTCAAAATAGTATTATTAAAGAGAGTAGGGGAAAAATAAAATAATATCTCAAAATAAGAAGGGAATGCTTTCTAAAAATATACCTGCAAAAAGTTTGTTTCTAATCATGGAATTAGTACAAATATGTTGTTAAATTTCTATAGAAATGAACCTAAAGTGTACCTGATGATTCCATAGGTCCATTTTGTTACTGTTCTGATGAAGTGCTATGCTTTGTTTTTTCTCATTTTATGCCAAAAGCACTGAACAAATTTTGTTGTCAGATTTTATCTGCTGGAAGGTTTGCACCCTGTGGTAATTTTAGAGTTCAGATAATTTTGCATAAATTTATTCAGAAACCGTTATTGAATGTCGGGAATTTGTATGGTTTGAGCATTTGTTCTAAAAAGCCACTGTCCAGAAAAGAGTTATGAGTCAATTACAGACATCGATTGTTCACCTCATCATTACCTTTACCTGATTACATTTATCAACTCTTGATTGAAAAGGAAACTTAATTTACTATATGTCAACTCGCTTAAAAGATAACACATTATAATGGTAGGATGTTTAGGTTTTCAGTCAGTTATTAGAGGTTAACTGTATCTTGAGAGTGATTATGAAAACTTCCTTCAATTCTTAGGATATTTAATTGGTTAAACTCAGTGGGCTGGAAGAAAATTTAGAGCTGAACTTAAAACACTTACCTGTTCCAATAAACATGACATCATACTGGCCATCTTCTGCATCCACTCTATCCACTACAATTTGTGTAAACTGATAATTCACATCTGTTTTGATCATTATCGGGCGGTTATTAATAGGAAACACCGGATTGTACATGGCTGGATGACTTCTTGCAAACATTATAACATCATCTGGAAGGTCTTTCGTAGAGTCAAATCCACCAAATGTTTTGCTGGGACACTATTAAGATAAAGAGAAGAATGTCTTTTGATTAAAATATAATGAATAGGATTATAAATTTTATAATGATATATGACCAAAATGGTCTAGGAATCTAAACTTGTGATTATTTTTTTTAAGTTAATGAACCAATAAACTAAAAAAAAAAAAAAAAAATTACTCAAATTAGTAGATGTAATATGTACTATATATTTCTTAAATATATCTTACATCTCAGTGGGGTTTAGTTATATCACAATTTCTTACTAAAAATTTCAAATGCATCTAATGAATTCAGTGTATGGGAAGATCTGATGCCTTTACTAGTGGCAACACCATATATTTTATTTATGTGATAGATTAAGTGTTTGAAATAATTAATGGAATATGTTTAAACTACATATAGTTATTAGATTAGAGAAACTCAGAATAATTTTCTTGGATACATTTGATTTTTATTGTATGGCAAATGCTAAAATACAAATAGCCGATATAAACTATTCTTTATTGCTTATTTCTGGCAAAACCCTGAAAAAGAACCACAAGAATTACCAAAAGTACTGTCTCTGGAGAGGTGCTGTTCAAAGTGTTTAACAATGTGCATGGCATGGAAACTGACCAATCAGAATGGACCAAGTAGAACAGATGATGGCCATAGAGAGCCAGAAAAGATGCACTGCAGTACACTGGCAAGATATCATCTCTAGCTATAAATGCTTCACATAAGGCAATAAAACAAAAACGAGGAAATTCAGATTTCACTGTCTCTTTTCATTCCACATAATTATGTGGTACAGCATTCTGACTACAGTATCTCTAGTCTCTTGCTTTTTGTCTTACAATTAAGTAGTTTCTGCCACTTAATGTAACAGCTTTGGAGTTAAAAAGAATGTAGAGAGGTTCTTACAAGAGGCTTAGAGGAAAAATCAATTGTCTGCACTTACCTTGATATATATCATTAATAATTCATGAGAAATAAAATAAATAAATAAATCTCTTTTGAAATGAGAAGAATATCTATTTATGGATACACATGTATGTATAGGTGTATATATATATATATATATATGTACACACACACACTAATATAATAGTTAAAGGATTTAGAGAATTATGTTTTAAGTAAATTATAAAATTATTTAATGTTATAGAAATACCAAAAGCTATATAATTTCTAGAAGAAACAATTAAACATTTTATGACATTATTTTTATTTTTATTTTTCTACTGCCATTTAAGTATGGCTCACAAAAATTTGAAATGTGTGACTGAAAGTTAAAGTAAGGGATTTATTTATTTCTTATTTTATCCTATAATTTGTGTCATTCTCTTGCCTTATCAGCCTTTTATTTTTGCATCTAGTACTACTCAGCTATAGGTTTTTCTTGAAAAATAAAGAAAATGCCATTCTACTGACACATTGTTTGAAGATCACTTCTCCAGTAGAGCTGATGAAATGACATATTCTCAACTGCCACCTTTTGGGATTAATGAACTCATTCAAGTAAATTTTAATCATGGAATTAGTTAGATGTTATCTCCTGGCAGCCTTTTTCTAATTCCTAGATTAGGCAATATTTTCTGCCTTCTGCTTCTAGCACTTGGTGCATATTACTGACTTAATTTCCCATGTTATAACAACACTCTGTGAATATTGGGTGAGAACACAAGCTCTAGAACCTAACTGTCTGGATTGAATTCTGGCTCCTCTCTGTTGATCAGAGACTTTATTGGTGAAATGGTAGCTGTAACTGGGCCTTTGTGTAGAATATGTATATATGCAATAAATATAAAATGATATAGATAGTGATAGATATCTTAGAACAGGGTCCAACACACCATAATTTCTAATTACTATTATTAATTCTAAAAATATTTTACACATTTTCAGATCAAAAACTTGGTAACTCTAAATAGTAACACAATATCTAGCTCCTTGAAGGAATTCCACCAAGTTTGTTGAAGTAAACCTAGAGAGTCAGCTTATATTCAGAATACAGTGGCATTAATTAGCCATAGAGATATGAACAACCATAGAGATATAAAACTGTCTACCAACAAAATAAAAAACAGTTTACCATTAAGAAAAGGGATATGTCGTGCTTTTTATAAAACCCATTGGACTTCATATGATCAATAGATATTCTATCTTGTTCATTTATTCTTCTGAAAGCCTATTAGTTTTTGTTTTTGTTTTTGTTTTTGTTTTAATCTACAAAACCAGAAGTAATATTTGAAAAATGCAAAATTTTGAATTTGTTCATAAATAAGTTTAGTAAAACAGAAAAAAAAAACATTAAAAGCATCTATGTTTAAGTCTCTTCAATAAGTGGTGCTTGGAAATTAGACAGATATATGCAAAAAAAAACCCAAAAACTGGACCACCTTTTTATGCTGTACACAAGAATAGATTCAAAATGGATTAAAGATTTCAATGTAAGACCTGAAACCATAAAACTTCTAGAAGAAAATGTAGACAATAATCTCATAGATATCACTACTAGTAATTTATTTTCAGACATATCTCCTTGGGCAAGGGAATCAAAAGAAAAAATAAAAAAATGGGACTATATCAAACTAAGAAGTTTTTGCACAGCAAAAAAAGCATCAACCAAATAAAAAGGTAACCGACTGAATAGGAGAAGATATTTGCTTATGATACATCTTATAAGAGGTTAGTATCCAAAATATACACAGAACTCATATAACTTAACAACAAAAACAAACAATTCAATTTAAAAATGGGCAGAAGACACGAACAGATATTTCTTCAAAGAGGAAATACAGATGGACGTACAAAATAGACGTACAAAAAGATGCTCGAGGTCACTAATTATCAGAGAAATGCAAATTAAAACCACAATGAGATATCACCTCACACCTGTCAGAATGGCTATCATCAATAAATCAACAAACAAGTATTGGCGATGTGAAGAAACAGGCACTCTCATATACTCTTGGTGGGATTGCCAATTGGTACAGCCACTATGGAAAAGAGTCTGGAATTTTCTCAAAAAATTAAAAATGGATATACCTTTTGACCCAGCAATCACATTTCTAGGTATTTGCCCAAAGAAAATCAAAACAATAATCACAAAGATCTATGCACCCCTATGTTCATGGCAGCACAGTTTACAATAGTCAAGATATGGAGGCAACCTAAATGCCCATCAACAGACGATTGGATAAAGAAGTTTTGGTTCATATATACAATGGAATATTACTTGGACATTAAAAAAAATGAAATCCTACCATTTGCAATGACATGAATGGACTTAGAAGTTATTATGCTGAGTGAAATAATTCAGTGAAAGATAAATGCCATATAAATTAATTTATATGTGGAATCTAAGGTACAAAAAAAAGAAAAATCAAAAACAGACACACGGATATAGAGGACAATCTGGTAATGGCCAGAGGGGAGGAGTTTAGGGTCTGTAAGAAAGGGGTGAGGGTTAAAGAAGTACACATCAGTAGCTGATAGATGGTTATGGGAATGGGGAGCAGGGCATAGGGAATACAGTCAGCAGTAAAGTAATGGCTAGGTGTAGAGCCAGAGGAGAGAAAAACTACTCAGGGGAATCATTTTATAAACTATATAAATGTCTAACCAATGTACTGCATACTTGAAACTAATAATGAAATTAAAAATTAAAAAAAAAGCATCTATGTCTAAGAAAATCATAGAAAACATAACTTGCTTTGCGGAATAGAAAACTGAAGTGAAAGAAAAATAATGGTTAGACTTCAAATATAAGTTTTTTCATCATATGAAATTATTTCTTTAAATATTCTTAGCATTTAAAAATGTACTTAACTGGATTCTATCCAAATATTGTATTACCTCTGATATAATACTGATAATTTCACTCATTTTCTACCACACTGAAGTCTTTCCTTTTTTAATCCCTACTTTAAATTGCAGATCCAGAGCTGATTTTATTTTTAATTCTGTCCAAATTTTATAAGCCTGAATGTGCCCGGGGTTGCTGGAGGGAAAAGGGAAAGATTGGCGATAGTAGACAGAGTCTGATAAAATATCTAGGTCCTGTTCACATTATGCAATTTTTTTTCACATGTCTTCTCTCCCTACTTCAAGGATGTGTTCTATTCATGGGAAGATAATATCAACTAAAAAAATTGTTTTTCTCCTATTTAATATGTACTCTTTGAGCCTTCTTTAAGATCAGGAAAAAACAAGTCTAGGTGTGCCCTACGAGTTTCGACTTTCCATGAAGGCCATTTTCACTATATTTCACTCAGAAAAGAAAATAAACAAGGTTTCTATTTCTCAAAAATTATAGGTATTAATAACTGGCACGCACTGAACTTAAACACTGATGTTTGTAAATAACATATGTATAAATATGCAATTCCATGGTATCACAGAAGATGTTTGCTTTGCTTTCATTTATAGTCTTAGAATTTTGTTTTACATTATGTGTGTTTAATATCTGTTTTTAGCTGCTTTTAAAACTTTCAGCAGTAATTTATTCATTTTATATTTTAAACACCTAGGCCACTTACAGTTCCAGGTCGTGGGTAGGGGACTCTTCCTTGATAAGGCACCCACTGATAGTTGGGACCATCCCTGTGAGCATATGGACCAAGGAACACTCTTCTCACATCGCTCATGCTATACATACACACAGCTGACCCTTTGAAAATGTTACTAAAAAAGAGAGATAAAACAAAAACAGATTTTCATCTTTACACCATGGCAAGAGAACTGTTGATACTGAGTTCTTAAATTTCAGATATCAATTATCAAATCTAGAACACAAATTCTTAGCAGTCGCAATGAATGTCTGAGACTTTTTTAGTCACATATTTTAACAGTACACAAGAGAATAAATTGTCATTCTTGAAAATAGAAGGCCTGGATGAAAACTGTATTTATTTATAGAATATATATGTTCATATCATACTTAACTTTGATAGAAAAACATATATATTTATGATCTCCTAAAAAGTAATGTTTTATTTCGATATCAATAAAAATAAAAATATAAACTTTGGTGATATTCAAGTCTCATTAATGAAACCAGGGGAATTTTAAATAGGCAAGAATGTTTAAGAACTCATTTTATAAGCTGAAACTGGTACAGAAAATACTCAATGTCAATGGTTTGTTACATTATATTATTATTAACTCCCAAAACATCATAAACATTAGATCAAGTAATTTGCGTGAAGGTATTTAAAATCTTCCCTTCCCAATATAGAAAATCATTTTAAGTTAGTAGTTATTACACCCTAGTCAAAGTGGGGCATTACAGCAATTATCCCCATCATTTTTCTAGACAAGAATCAGATAATTGAAGCAAACTGGAAGTTTGCCATGAGCTGCCACAATTATCCATTTTATTTTTTGCTTATGTAAATACAGCTTGAGGAATGCATTTATACAAGGATATAAAACAGTTGTACACATTTTAAATACAGAATGCTTATCTTTTAACCAATCTTTCCCCATAGAAAATTACATATAAATCAGACCAAATGAAAAACATATGTTCATAAGAGTTTTTTTATTGGGAACTGCAGTATGTAGATAATGCCTAGCAGAGTGCAAGCTTCATAAGGGAAGGAACTAAGCCTGGTTTCTTTTCAGTAACTTCAGTTACATATTGCATGGTACCTGACAAAGTCAATCTCAGTAAATAGTTATAGGATTTCATAACAATATATTTGTAACAGAATAGCAAATTAATACATATTTGATACATCACAGTTTGTAATGTTTATACATCCCTTTTCCATTGTTATATACTTTACTTATCTACTGACAAAATCAGTCATCATTAAAAGACTTGCTTATGATTTATGGTTGTTAAAACTAACTCATGTATAGTGCCAGATGGATATTAGAATAATTGGGGGATCACTTCGTAAATTATATAAATGTCTAACCACTATGCTGTATGCCTGAAACTAATATAAAATAATACTGAAGGTCAACTATAATTAAAAAACAAAAAATTAAAATTAAAAAAAATAAAAGAGAAAGGCTAACTCATATATAGACATTCATCTCACTGAAGTAGAGAGAAGAAATTATTTCACCCATTATGTCAATGATTTTCAAAGTGTGTTTCCTAGACCAAAGCATGGGTATCATCTGGGAATTTGTAAGAAATTCAAATTCTTAAAGCTTGCCCTATTCCGACTGAATCAGAAACTCTGGGAGCAGGGCCAACCAATCTGTATTTTAACATGCTCACCAGGTGATTTGATGCTCAATTGTGATCATTTATAGGTATTGAGGAAGTAGAAGAAATAGATTAAAATATGTTTAATTTGAACTGTTCACATTCTTTAGCTGTCATTCTGTTTTTATACCAAAGGGGAAAAATATTTAGGTATGGGAAACTGCAAATAGTTTTAGTAATATGAGTTTCTTAAATTTGTCAATTTTTAAAATTATTAAGTAAAAATCAACTTATAATGGTTTTAATATTTAAAGAATAAATCAGTGTTGGACATTGCATTTTATCTTTATCTCTATGCTATCGCAGTCCCTTGTAGCACTTTACCTGACTTTTGATTTTAAATTATTTTTCTTTTAAACATTTTATCCATATACGTATATCCTTATTGATGTGCATGTAAATATATGTTTCCTTTAACAGTTCCAAGTAATGTAAAATTTATACAGAATGTAACAGTCAGGAGATGATTGCTGCTTGATTTACAGCAGAGCCTTGGGAGTTGTGGGGACTGGGGAAAGGAAAGGAGCAAAAGGGAAAGGAGAAGGGTGAGGAGAGGGAAAAGGAGGAGAGAAGGAAGGGGAGGGAGAGAGTGAGGAAAGAAGAGGGGATGAAGAAGAAGAGGAGAGGAGATAGGAGAGGGGAGATAAAAAGCTTTGTCGCTCTCAGTTTATATCACTATAAACTTATCAAAACTCAGATTTCCCTTTTTATAATATTCTACATTTCACTCAAAGTTTTTAAGTCAAAGTTATACATAGGATATGCTATACATTTTCTACCATTTTCTTATAGTGATGATATTCATTGCTAAAATTTATTTAGGAAAAATTAAAAAAAACCTTTTTAGGTCTAACTTATTTCAGTCATCCAAGAATGCATGACATCTCAAAGGTTAAGTCAACACTGTTCTTTCAAAAATATATTTTCACAAACCATAGATACTTAGAAAGCATCTGAATGACATGGAGTTTCTATGATAATAAGATAGTAAAAAGTTTTTTACCTGGAAGTTGTAAACACTCCATATACAATTGGATTTTTAGGATCTTTAGAATTCATTAGGAATACATCCTCTGTTTGAAAACAAAATTGAGAAAAGTTGCATTTTTTATGATTACGGCAAAGACTGAACAAATATCCTCTGTAAAACATCATCAGCTACTTACGCAATTCGTCAAAATGAGTGTCAATGCCATTTGGACCTGGCACTGAGCAAATCAGACGAGCTTTGAGGAATGTTGTCCATTTATTTACCAGACTTCTGTGTCCTCCAAAGTCATTCTGAAAGGAGAGAACCCCAGTTTTAGGAACTGTGCATCCAAATGATAATTTCAAATATTTCTCTTATTTTGAGATAGATACAAAATATAATTCCTCATATTTCAAAATGAGGAATAAGGAATTTTAAATGGATAGATACAAATATTTATAATTTTTTATTATATTGTTGATCAAATCTATTCACTGAAATGTTATTCAAGGAAAAACTTACACTGAATTTCCCTTAGTATTAAAATGTCACTTTACCTTTTTCATTCTATTACCACTCTGCAGTGAACAATCTTTACTCGTGTTTGTTTTAATTTGGTTTCAATCTGTCTCTCCTACATATGCATTTCTTGAGACCTTACTCACTTAAGTAGGCTGGTCCCCAGTAGTGAACACACTGTCACATAGTAGACACTGACTAGGTATGTCCTGAATAGAAGAATTAATGCATATCCCATAATCCATGCTGAAAATACGTTACAAACAAAATTGTACTAATATCAGATATTTTATAAGTTTAAACAATTTAAGTAATGCCAATTTTACAAATAGCATGTTGAAAATATTTGCATAACCTTAATAAAGGAAATTTATTCCAGCGAAACATTTTTGAAGAGACCCTTAAAAACTAAAATACTAATTTATATTTTGTTTATGTTATTTTATATACTATAAATAATTTTTTAACCTTTTTAAGTAGTGCTTTTAAATATGACCTATGTTTTGTGAAGGAAAGATTCTCATATACTTCATGTTATTTGTATGTTTGCAGATTGTTAAACTTTTAATTTTCCAGTAAGTCAATATACTAGAGATAAATAATTAGATCATGATTGGGGTAGCAAAGAGGCTAATTCCTTCCCACCCCCAAAACAGAGATTTTTTAAATTTCATATCTTCTTAAAAAGGAAGAAATATATTTTAGGATAATTATTGGATCTGACTTTATGATTTTCTTGAAATGAAAGATGCTTTAATACAGAACAACAATTGGCCTTATTCATATTGCATATATATTGTAGATGAAAAAATAGTACTGTTATTATATCTTCACATATGGAAACTAATTAATCCATATTTATTGAGCAATTTTTACTCTAAAATTATAATGCAATATTATAATCGATTTTATGCCACAAAGTAAATGAATTACTCAGATAAAGTTCAGAGCTTCAACATTATGTGTGTGTTGTGTACATGTATATAGGATGCTATAATAATCAATTTATAAAAAGCATTAGTTTTCTACTTATATTAATATTAGTTATCCTAACAACAAATATTCATTCAAAATTTACACATTATAGAAAAGTATGCTAGGTCTGAGAATACAAGTTTCTCAGGCAATGCAAAAAAAAATATTTCTCTAGATTTTTGCACTAAAATCATTTAATGTAATTATAAAGTAATGCCTCTAACCTCTCTCTACCTGAATGTTTGACTATGAAGAGTTACTCATAAGCAACTGTAATATGTTTTCAATCATTTTTTGCCATTTAAATATTATTTATAGGAATCAGTCCACTCTTTTCACCAGATCTTCATTAAATTAGAAAATAGGTGGAAATAAAAAGAAATAAAATAGCAATTGGACAAAATCACTCAAGTTTTTTTCTTTACTTTACCTTGCATATCTGACCTATTCTAGCATGAGTGGCTTTTCCAGTGTGTTCTCCATCTATTGCATTTTCACGGAAGAAAAAATATACTTTATCATCTTCAGGGTTATCACTCTCTGGGATGAGGTGGGCACTAATAAACCTTGGATCTGAAAGATAAATGATAGGATGTATATTAATTCATAGTTGAATAAATAATAACATTAATTACATTCCATTTTCACTTTCTCTTAATTCTTATTCAATATATTTCAAGAACTAACTTTTCCTAATTCACTTTTTAACTACTTTTGAACCACTCTTTATGCATTTTAAAGTATGTTATGAATCACCTTATATCTCATAAAAATATTCATTGATTTTTTTCAGAAAGTTAGAAGTAAGTGCAGAAATCCTCAGAGTGACCAAATAGTGCAGCGTTTCTGGATATTAAGATATGTTGCAAATTGTAAGTGCTATTGAATGTTACTTTTTGCTGTCACCATTGTTATTCTTCCTTTCAAGCATAAACATAGTTTAAATCAAACTACTAATTAGTCTATTGCAATTTCCAGCAAAAACTGGGTGAGAGAGGGGAGATGAGATCCACATAAAACAACAACAAAAAAACCCAAATCCTCTCATGCTGTTCCCCATCTCAGTAAATGACAAAGTCATTTACTAGGTACTCATGCCCAAAACTCTGGATCCACCCTTGAGTTCTCTCTGGCTCTCACATTTCACCTTCTGTCTACCAACACATCCCTATTTATTACCACTTCTTACCATATGCATTATGACCAGCCTCTCCCAGACTGCCATTGCCAACGATTGTCACTTCCCTCTCTATATTCCCCTATATATTTCCAAATCACTCACAATAAAATATTAATTCTTCCAGTGACCAGAGCCATTTATGATCTGATCCCTGCTTCTTTACATGCCTTTTCTTCTCCATATCCTTACTTCCCTAACTTATTCCTAGACAGCCGTACCAGCCCCAATCTCATTTTCAAACAAGTCAAGAACTCTCAGTCCTGCCCCAGGTCCTTCCTCCCTGTGAAACTTTCTGCCCTCATATATCTAAAGTCTGAATTCCTACTTTTATTCAGGTTTTTGTTCAAATATCACATTGTTGAAGAGATCTTTGTTGACTACTCTATTTAAAGCACTAAAATCCTTACTTCAGGCCAACCCTTATTTATTTTCATACATTATTTGTCTTCTTAACCTTACTGATCACCTACTGTGATGCATCTCTCTCTCTCTCTTTCTCGGTCCTTCTCTATGCATTTAATCTTCATTTGCTTATTATCGTCTCCTTCCCCACCTCGATGGTATATTAGTTCCATGAGAACAAAAACTCAGCATGTTTTTTTGATGCTATGATCCTAGAGTTTAAAACATAGTGAGCATTCAATGAATATCTTTGCAAGGAGGAAAGGAAACAGGAAAAAGTGAAACTGCCTAGATTATGCATAAGGCATATCAGCAGTGTTTAGGGCTCTACTTCAAAAATTACTTTTGTAAATACTTGGATTGATAACTTTGTGGTTTATACAAACTATAAAAACATATACTAGCTTCATGGCTTTAACAAGTAATATACTGGGAAGGTAAGTTTATCTCACGGAAAGCACTTAGGACATTGCAGATATTTACATTCTTACAGTAATCTGCCTTTAGTCCTATGGCATATTATGTTATCAAGTTAATGATGAAATATATACACACAGTTCAGCACCATACTTCAGAGACCAAGAAAGAGTTCAGAATCCTGAAACTAGATTTATCCATGTTATTGAGTCTTAATCTTTACACCTGTGAATAATCATCATTATCTTTTTCCATGATTGTAACCTTCTTTTAACATTTGCTCTGGGACCATGCACTTAATATATTTTGCAGGGCTACACTCCACTAACTTTCTTAGGCAAATTATAAACTCTGTAAGTAATATAAAACATATGAAATACTACTTATTCACATTTAAAGTTTAGTATTCCAGTGGAATAAGATTAGAGGAATAACTTAAAATTTGGAATCACTTAGCATGAAAATTTTTTAAAGATACATCAAATAATACTTTAACTTTAATAATTGTGAAGCTTGTTTGTCTTCATAAACTTCCACTTGTTCCTATATATAAAAATATTTATATATATATATATACATATATGTACATATATATGTTTGTCTCATGAGGAATAATTAGAAAAATAATTAAGGTGGCATTGTAGGAATTATTATGTTACAAGCCAAAGAATTATTATGCCATTGATGAAGTCAGGCTTCTAGAAATGCAGCGTGTGTGTAAAAGTACTCAGTTCAATCACTTGAAACTTTTGTGACCTTTTGACAAGACTCTTACTTCTCAGATCTCTGATGCCTAATTTTCAAATCATGTTTATTTCAAATTGAATTTGATTCATCTCGTCTATTGTAAATAGTTTATATAGAAACAAATATTTTACACTTAAAAAACCTTGGTAAATTTTAACAAATGTATTATATTTTATCATTATGATGATACGGAAAGAAATCACATACTAAGTTTGGGGGATCTCATTATAATACAGCTACAGAATTAAAATAAAAAATAATATATTCTTCTGCTTTAGTAATGGAGCAATGGAGGACAAGCTAGTTTAATATTACCTCCTGAATTGAATAACTCAAAGAATTTCAAATAATTAAAATCCAGTTATCTTTTATTTGATCATAAATACATGTGAGACACCATGTAGAAAACAAAATGAATAATATACAGCCCTTGTTCTCAGAAAGCTATAATGTAGCAAAAGTGATGTTGGAAGGACAAAAATGACAGCAAAGCAAACACTATTTTACATGTATAAATATTCTCTTAACTTGGTGTTTGGGTATGAGAGAAGGCACTAACAAGCATAATGTTTCCCTGTCTAAAATATGTGAGTATAACTATCACCTTACAAATGTAGACTCTAGTGGGAAATAATTCAAGCATTTATCAAGTACATTCATTGCTGAAAGGGTCTTCAATCTTAAACTCTCCTTCAATATCCGATGCTACAGAAATGGAGGATATTTTAGGTGAATTAGCAGTTTGATATAGCTTTAGATACAGCCAAAAAAATAAAATTATACATGGAAAACAAAAGTCAAATTTATTAAAATAGAAAAAAAGAATATCAAAGAAAAGCAATGCCAACTTAGCATAACTTGTCTTCAAAAAAAATTAGGTTATACGTTATACTGGGAAAATATCTATTCTTATTTCAAAATAAAATAGGTCTCTAGTTGATCCCTTCTAAAAATTTTTTAAAATCTATTTGTCTGCTAATATTTCAAATTTAGAAATCCTTCTCTTTGGTCAACACCTCTCCTCACTACTAATTTTCTACTTCTTTACTACCCCCAAAATTTTGCTTTCCCTTTCCTTGTGATACTGTGTTCTCTTACCTCGTCTCTTATTCTCTCAGTGTATTCCTCTCCTCATTGGTGAATTTCCCTCTTTATCCAATCAGAACATGGGAATCAATCATTCTAATTGTCTTCCTTACCATCCTAGAAACCTCTTGGTTTCTTGCCTTACAAAACCCAAGAACTTTCTTCCCTTTGCTCCTATAACTAAACAAGGATGAAAAAAAGATCATATAATCATAGTAAGTGAATATGTTATAAATTCAAGCTATTTATCTAAATAAGAACTCTGGTATCTCTAGGGAATTATTTTACTTCCGATAGATTTATTATCAATAACTTTTTAAAATAATTCTGATTGTCTTCAAACCAACTAATGTACTACCGTCTCTCACTTTACTTTCCAAAGATGGACTTGATATTTGCTATGTTGTTAAGACCAAGGCCATTTAGTGAGAACTTCTTCCTTTTCCTTTCTTTACACTGTACTCCTCAATTTTTCTTTTCTTCCTTTCTTTGGAGAAATGGTTTATCTTCATTCAAGTCTAAGGCCTCTCTCTATTTGCTCTCAGTCCAATAATCTACAGAATACTGTTCTAATAGCAATCTCTATTCTTCATGCTGTCGCTAACCATTTTTATTTTAACTTATGAAACATTTCCTGAGCACTCACTCTGTGCTTTGGAATGTAGAAGATTAGGAGATATTATAGTGAAAACTGTTACTGTCTGTGAGAGAATACCAACAATTAAACTGCGCGCGCACACACACACACACACAATAAGAGTTTGGAAAGAATTCAGTGGGGAATAGAAGGGACAATTAATCTTGCCTCGAAGGAATTAAGGAAAGTTTTTCTCAGAAGATATGGCATATATTTCAAGACTCGAAGAAAAACCAGGAGTGTTCCAGGTAGGAGGAGCACATGTACAGTCACAGAAACAGAGAATGTTGTGCACACTGAGAATGGTCAGTGAAGACAGAAGCAGTTAGAGATGATGAGAGAAAGTTAAGCAGAGGCCAGAATAGAAAGAAAGTGTTGCTCAGGAATTTATTGTACTAATGGCTATGAGGGAAACCATTAACGTGTTTAAAACCTAGTAATGCCGTTATCATATATTTATTTTAAGAACATCATTATCGTTGCTGTAGAGAAAAAAGTTATAGTGAGACACAAATGAAGGCAGAAAGACCAGTCCGTAGGCTGGTGAGAAATGATGGTGATCTTGACCTGTATAAAGAAGGAGATATATGTAGAGATTATTTGAAAGCAGAATTGATGGATAACGTTCACTGATAATATGCTGAATTTAAAGAGTAGTGAGAAAAATCATGGAAAAATTAAACAAATCTGATTTAAGCAACAAGTTAGATAGGAATCATTTACTGAGATAGGGGACACTTGAGGAAGGATAGATATGAGAGTAGAGAAGAAAGATGAGCTCAAAATTAAAAAATTTTGACTAAAATTTTCTACCTAGACATCTCACTGAAACTTTTATTCATCATACTAGGCAAAGAACTTACTAGCTTCTCTTTTATAACTGCTTCTGCTCCTACCTTTCTGTTTTGGTTAATCTCAACATCAATGCCTAGATATAATATTGTATTTAACCTTAAATTGCCTCCATCTCCTGCAGGACTTCTGCTTTGTACTCTAAATTTATTATCAATCTTATTCCTGTTATCATTTTCACTCCCTTTCCCTGTTTTATGGTCTTAATGTTGCCAGCACAATTCATGTTCTTTTTAATTTACAGTTATATTT